GAAAATCACTCAAAAACTACGTCATTTTAAGAAACTTTCATTAAAAAATTACTAAAGTACCCTATTTTATAATATGAATTATATTATTTATTTTTTTTAATGATATTTTATTGAAATGACATAATTTTAGAATAGTTTCTTTTAATTTTTAAAAGATAAGGCAAAGAAGCATTAATCATAAAAATTAATTAAAAATATTAAATTTACATTTTTAGATAAAGTATGAAAAATGTCCATGCAAAACATTCATACTGACATTTTTAATACAATATTTTATGTTAAAATGTAAATTTATTATTCTTAATTAAATTTTTATACAATTTTATTAATTCTATCTACTATTTTATATTTTTAGTAAAAAATAAAAAATTATAATTATAATCACAGTACAATCGTAACACTAAAAAACTAGTAACTCTAAGTGCATGTGATTGTTACTAGTGTTTGTACGTGACCCTATAAAAAATAATGTGAAATTAATCCCCAAAGAAAAAGAAATACTAAGTATTAATATTAGAAGAAATGAAATTATAAATGGGTGTTCTTTGAATTATAAAAATATCTTTAATTAATATATAAAAATAAGTAATTGTCATTATGTGTGGCTTTTCGAAACAGAATAATCCTAGAAAATTTACAAAAAGGCGAAAAGGGCCGTAGAGAAAAAATACTACGAATTATGTAAGAAATTTCAAACATGGCAAAACCATTTTATAAGCAAGCCCTCCAACTTCTCCTACATTTGTGAATAAGCCCTCATACTAAAAGAAAGGGCAAATAAGCTCTTTAACTTCAGGATCGCGACAAAGTAGTCCTCAGTTAATGGCTATTGTTACATGTATATGACTTGGCAGTTACAAGAAACATCAACGGCAAAAAGAAAATGGTTAATTGTATTATTCCTTTACTTCCTATATATTTGGTTTGAGAAGGAGAAAGAATAGGAAAAATTATTATAATTAACTAAATTATTTTGTTAGTCTAACAATTTAATTTGATAAGTGGTAATATGACCAACTCTCTCCATTCCTTCAATCTAAACAAGTTATTAACTAGTCAAATTTAAAATAAGATTAATTTATAAACTTAAACAAAATGTTAAAGATATGTAACACTCTTAATTGTTTCTATATTTGTATTCTAAGAGAGAAAATGTATATTTAAAACTTGAAATTAGTAACAATTTTAAGAAGATATTTATATTCTCAACTTTGGATACAAGGCTCATTGATTCAATTTTTAAGTATAAGTTTTTAATAGAAGATGAAAAGAAGAAAATATCTGTTTTGTGTTTGATCATTTGTCTCATATGGAAATCATTATTTTTTTTTTCACTTCCTAACAGAGGTTCATTTGGAAGTTTTTGAGATAAAAAGGTTAATTTGAATGGCGTCTGGACTCCATAAAGATTTAATCTTAGTGATATTGCAGTTCCTCAATGAGAAAGGGTTCAAAGAAACCGCTCACATGTAAGATTTGAGTGTCCATTAATTCTTCCTTGATGTTCATATTTGTTTACCTTTAACCTGTTTGAAATGACTTCCTTTCCATGTTCTTGAATAGGCTTGAGCAAGAATCAGGGCTTTTCTTTAACATGGAGCATTTTGAGGAGCTGGTTCTTAACGGGGATTTGGATGAGGTTGAGAAGTGTCTTTCCGGGTTCAGTACATGGGATCATAATAGTTCATCAAAGAAGATCTTTTTCGAAATCCGAAAGCTGAAATACCTTGAGGCATTAAACAGGTAAGTCTTCATTTTTTTTTTTTTATTTTTTTTTTTTTGTAGATTGATTTAGAAAATTTCTATTAATAAATTGTCTTCTAAATTTCATTGTTTTACTTTATCAGGGATGATAAGGTCACTGCTATTGATATCCTTCAGAATGATCTGAAAGTTTTTGCTTCTTCTAATGAAGATTTGTACAAGGAGCTCACTCAGATTGTAACCTTGGATAACTTCAGGTTTGTGTTCAGTTTGCGATCTTTTTTAAGTATATCAGTTGTGATGTAGCCTAGAGTGTTCTGACAAACACATGGATTCTACAGGGAGAATGCGCATTGTGGGGATCTAAATGCTGCAAGAGAAATTATGCTGGTTGAGATCAAGAAGCTTATTGAGGCAAATTCTCTTTTCAGTCTAGATAAGTTAGTGTTACCTGACATGGAAAGTAACAGGTTACAAATGCTCATCAATCAAAGGTAATATAATCTCAAAACAAATTCATAATTCTTTGAATTCAAATAAGTTCGTTCATATGAATCTTCTCATTTTGAATTATTGTTATTTTTACATCTCTTGCTATGGTGATTAGCAATAAAAGGTGAACTGAGACGTTGACTGTGGTATGTGCCTCACAGCTTAAACTGGCAGCACTCTCTTTGTTCGAATCCCTTGCCAAATCCTGAAGCAAGAACTATTTTCGTGGATCATAAATGTACAAGCTCCACTGGTCAATCTAGTACAAATCCAAATCCAGGTGAGTGTGATTGTTTGACTAGCTTTACACATGAATACACCTCCATGCCATGGATAAATTAATAGCTTCTACTGCTTGGTGTAGCTGATGTGTTAGAGGATCATGAAGATCCTAATAGTATTTCAACATCAAGCGATTCTGATAGCATGTCAACAGCAACACCTTCTACATCTGTTGATGAGGTAACTTTAACTCATCTTTGCATTAGAGCAATCCTCCTCGGACTGCATCTAACTTGGTATTCACACATGTTATGCAGACAACTTTTACTGGAGAAAACCAAAGTCAGAATTCCTTGGCACTTAACACAATTGATGACTTGCCCAAATTTGTTGTCCGGACAATGAATTTTCGATCATTACCCACAAGCATGGACTTTCATCCTATTCAACACTCACTGCTTCTGGGTTAGTCTTGGGAGCTTCTCATTCGATGAACATTTACAATGTTCTTTTGTCTAAATGAATTGACTTGTGTTTCATATATTTAATAATCAGTTGGAACGGATATTGGGGACATTAGGTTGAGGGAAGTGAGAACTAACGAAACAATGGCTTCGGTAAATTTTCAGGTAAGGGAGATACATAGATGCAAGCTCAATGATATTAAAGATCTATATTAAGCAAAATATAGCTTTGTTTTATTAGTATATAATGAATTAATTCTTAATTGGTTTTTGATCAATTCAGCCAGATTTTATAAGAGTATCTCGTCTTTCAGTTAGACGAATTTTATGGAGCCCTGATGGTTCATTATTTGGTGAGAAACAGATAATGGATATATTGACACTCTTTGAAATCGCAAGTAGTTAGCTGCTATCATTAACTTGTGGAATTCTCTCCAAACAGGAGTTGCTTATTCTATGCACATGGTGCAATTGTTCAGATATTTTGGACGAGGTGATATCCGACTTCATTTGCAGGTAAATCCAATTCTCTTCTCTCTTTTTTTTGACACTAATTTTGCTCCTCCTCTTTCTTTCAAATGAAACATGATGGTAATCCATTTTTTTTTTTTTTAAACTACTAATGTACAGATTGAGCCTCACATTGGCAGTGTAAATGATATAGCATTTTGCATCCCCGCTAGGCAGCTATACGCTATTACTTGTGGCGATGACAAGACAATCAAGGTTGGTTACAAGTAATTAGTTAGATTTCTCTTATTGGTTTTATATAAATATTGTAGACTGAATGTGTCTACTTTTAGGTGTGGGACACTGCTACTGGTGCTCAATTGCATGTATTTGAAGGTCATGAGGCTCCTGTATATTCTGTCTGTGCTCCTAACAATGAAAATTTTCATGTAAGGACTCCACTTAATATTCAAACTTATCTGCTTTTTCTTTTTTGTATGGTTGGCTTACATTTTCGTTCTTCAGTTTTTCTTTTCAACATCAATAGAGGGAAAGATAAATACATGGTTGTATGACCATGCTCGATCTATAGATGATTGTTATGCACCTGGTCGCTCCTGTTCGAGAATGTCATATAGTTCTGATGAGAAAAGGTATGCGTGTAAGAGATGCTATGTAATTCATTTGCACACAATATGTACTTTATCAAAACACTAAAGTTTACTTTATTTAATTGTAGATTGTTCTCGTGTGGGACTACAAGGGAAGGTGAATCATACATGGTTGAATGGAATGAAAATGAAGGAACCGTTAAGAGAGCCTACCAAGGGTTTAACAACCGTTCCTTAGAAGTTGTACAGTTTGACACTTCTAGGGATCACTATTTGGCTGCTGGTGATGACTACCTTGTTAAATTCTGGGACATGGACAAGTCAACTGTCCTGGCAACTACCAATGCTGAGGGAGGACTAATGGTAAGTTTTCTTCTTGGTGTTGGTTTCAAAACTATATCCCTGCGTGGAAAGAACCGTGGTTTGACTTGTTTATTTGCTCTCATGTTGTCAAGGCAACTCCACGCATTCGATTTAACAAGGAGGGCTCTCTGTTAGCTGTTTCCGCAAGTGGCAACAGAATAAAAATCCTGGCAACAATGGATGGCCTTTCGTTGATGAGTATCTGTGAAAGCTATGCACCTGCTGCCTCGTGAAAGCCCCGCACGTTCAGCATATAGACGTGCAGCATCGGAGACCCATGTGCAGTTTCACCAAGATAGGTTCAGCTTGCCACCAACACCATATGACACCCTTGTCAAGACCCTAGTCAGTTTGCAATAGGGCTGACAGATGGAAGTGTTCATATTCTTGAGCCACTGGAATCCAAGGCAACAAGGTGTGCTGCCGCCACTTGCGAACATCTCAGCAAGTGCCACCAGGCTCCTCCACTTCTAGTTGCAACCTGTCAAGTATACAGCTTGTTAGTACTTCAATGGAATCATCAACTTTGCATTTGATGTATACTAGCTAAATACCAATTAAATACAGTCTTAATATTTTGTGGGGTTCAATAACAAACCTCTCCAAGGTTGATGTCAAGCCCAACACTTGAAGTGTTGGCAACATTTGCCAGAAGTTGAAAGAGCCGGTGTCTAATGCCTTGAAGATCAAGCTAACGTGATAAGATCCATAACCAACAGTAGATCCACTGGTAAGCAAATGCCGTCTTGTGATTGAAAAATTAAATTTTAAGGCTAATGCACCACCACCAACCATTGGTTGGTGGTGTGCCTTTAAAATTTCAATTCTGAGTTGGAGAGACCAGTTCCAAATAAATGTTTTTAATTTTCAAAAAATAACTAAAGCATAAAAAAAAAGTAAAAACTTTTTTTTTTTTTGACAATTGAAAACAACTGAGAAGAAAAAAAATTTTAACTATAAAAGGATTTATGAAAAGGATTATTAAATATGGAAGGAGAGAATGAATTTGAGAAGGGAAAATTGGAGAAAAAGGGCTTTTTATTATTATTAATATATTTTGATATATTTATGAGACGAAAAATAATTACATAGGTGGGTGTTTATATAAGCTTTTAAGTAAAGAATATATCCTAGAATATTCCCTATTACATTAATTAAAAATCTTAAATAAAATTTATCAAAATTAACTTTCCTTAATCTAAGATTTTTTACTATAATTATATCAATCAGTCGATTTCTTTACTCTATTAGGCTCAACTACTAAGGGCATGTTTGGTTACCTCTTAGTCTAAAAGTATTTTTTGAAATGCCATCATTTTTGTTAGTCGGCTTAAATCAAGAAATTAAACTTTATAGGTGCAAAAATCAAGGTAAAATATAGTTGATTATATAAAAAGAAAAAGAGTGAGAGGATATTTTAGAAAATAATTGGTTATAAGCAAATATAATACATTATGAGTGGGGATTTCTAATTCAAAAATTTTGAAAGTTTTCATTTTAGAATGTGTAATTAATTATTATTCTTATTTATTCGATTATTTTGCCTATGAAGCATTATAATCAATTATAATTATAATGACTCAATCCACTTTATGATTTTAAAATATGTTAATAGGAGGTATTAACATTTATAACAATTCAAATTATTATTAATTATGTCCGCTTTAACCTTTTGAGTCTCATGATTTTAAAATGCATCAGTAAGAGGAAACGGGTATTGACTTATATACCTCACATCTCTCCATTACTTTGTTTAGTGTGAAATTTATCTAGAAATGTCACAATAACCAATTACAAAAGAATATAATTGCTTGTATTTTGTCATTTATTTTGATGTCCAAAAATTTATTTTGCTGAACTAAAGCCAAACCATTTTTGTCTACGACTTCTTCAGAAATGTCTTCCGAGCAGTGGGTTACAAACAGACCCTAGAAACTAAGAACTTTCACTAAACTTGGTAAAATTAGATCTAATCCGAAAATTCAACCGAACTCATCTATTATTGGTCGGGTAATGGGTCTTATGTATTAATTTGAAATTCGAAATAATCCAAATCGAAATTACTCGAACTTAAATGGGTTGGATCACAAGTGGGTTGAGTCACCTGAAATAACATGAACTTTTTTATTCATTTTTTATTATATTGTTTAAAAATTAATTTAAAAATTCTAATTTCTTAATCTTAAAAGTAAAAATAAATAAAATATCCAAACCCTAACCTCATGTCAGTTTCGCTTTCTCTTAACTTTTCCTCTTCTCCACTCTTGCTCTCCCCTTCTTTATCTCAAGCTTTTTAATCCTTTTCTTTGGTGGCAGTTGCGTCAAAAATCAGATTAAACGGCACATAATAAGTTATGTCATATCATATGATATTGTCAAAAAGATCTTTTTTTTAAAAAAAAAAAAAGAAGAAGAAGCAAGAATGTCTATAAAAAATCAAAAGCCAGTAGTTAAGATACTCTCATCATCATTAAAAGCACAATGACAAAAACATCAAGATTTATTCTTAGTTGCTAATTTGTTCTAAATTACTAATATGTTCTTAATTAATAATTTGTTTCTAGTTAATAAAAATTAATCTCAATCCTA